ATCTCCAGGCACCATGGTGTAGAGAAGTAATTTGAGGGCTTGTTTTGCAGTTTTTTCCACCTAGGTGATGGGAGGGAGAGTGTGGACTTGATTAAGCCTTATTAATGTGAGAAACAGAACCAGACATGGGACACATCTTACCTTGCTTTCCTCCTGTGTAGAAAACTCAGTGTGCACAGAATGTACTTGGCTTCATTTTCACTCATTTTTGTAACAAAAGAAAACATGGGCATTCAAGGAAGCTTAAGAAGCTAGCTAATTCCAATCCAGATAAAAAACTTTGATTTTCTATGGCATAGTTAACATGTGCAGCTCATGTCCAAAAATTGATAGTGCAAAATGCTTTAAATTACTTTGTTTTATTTATGTATTATTTATTGAATTACCCAACATATACCTTTTGCTTTTTAAGACTTGCTTTTATGTAAGAAGTAGCCTGTTAACCACTGCAAGACTAGAACAGAATTTTTCATTTGGACTTGGTTTCCACATGATTTTTCCTTCCTGTGAACCAAAGCTACTGGTCTGTCCCTGAAGTGTGACACATCCAGGCTTGACAAAAATTCCTAGAGACTGTGTAAGGCTGGAGAGAAGGACTTAGGGCTGAACTGTCAGTTTAGCATTGCTGTAATGCTATAATAAGTTCTGCAACAGTGGTTCTTTTTGCTTATTTGAATGTGTGGTTATATTCCTTCTAGGTGTTTGCTGTAAAACAATAAGTAGTTCCAAGCCAGACTTCCAGAACCAAAAGCCTCTGAGTGGCTCTAACCAAGGAGTTGAGACATCTAATCTTCACACATTACAAAGCCCTTTGTATGTGGCATATGAAGGGCTGCCTCAAAGAAAGTCTTTAATTAAAGACCTTAACAGTGTGGTTTTGAAATCAGTACAGTAATTTCTTTCCAGACATGGGACACTTTGGGGAACTGTCTACTAAGACATTGTCTCTTTTTTTGTTTGTGAGCAAATGACATATACAAATGGCAAACAGTAAAGCGTGGAGGTGGCAGCAAGTCCAACCCTGAACCTGAGTCAGAGCCGACCTAACAAAGCTTGGAACTTTTCTGCAACCTGTTTCCACACTTCTTTTTTCTAAATGTGCTTTCTTTCCTTTTCTTCGCATTTGCAAGAAACTCAGTTCTCTAATACAATACAGCCACAGAAAATGCTGAGAGAGATTTTACAGTTACATTTCTCTGTCTCCAGGGAATCTGTATGTTGAGGTGGCCCCTCACAGCTTCCTTCTTCAAATTTTACTTTAAATTCCGCTTAAATTCTCCTTTCTTCTTCTCACCAAAGAGCATGGGGTGCTGGTCAGAGGGCTGTTCTTTCTTCCTGCCATCCCTTCTTTGGGCTAGATGGACCACTGGTTTGATCTGAAGTAACAGTTCCTGTGTTCCTAAAGCTTGAGCATGAAAAGGATTTTTAGACACTTCTTAGTCACTGAAAAGAAGGATGTAGAATTAAATCTGTGACACATACAGTCTACTCCCCTGAGACACCATGCGACTAGAAACCAGGGTGTGAGACAGAGCTTGACAAGTTCAAATTTGGTGGCTGAACAAAACTATGGACAAAACTTCTGGTTTCTGTTAGCCAAAATATTTCTGTAATGTGAGAAGTTTCCCTTCCTTAAATAAAACCCAGTTAATTTAAAACAGAAAAATCATTGAAGACTAACTCGTTGTATCATAGGTAGGTAAAAAAAATAGGGTTTTTTCAATTTTAGTCAAATGAATGCATTCATGGCTTTCAGGGGAAACATTTGATTTTTCAAAATTATTATTGACAAAAGCTATGCTTTCCTTAAAAGTTTTTTTAAGTCATGTTTATTTGATTGTCATTGATAGCTATCTAGTCTAACTTCCTGTGCTATATGTTGGGTTACAGAATACTGCATTACAACAGAGTGTTTCTCCCATTGACAGTGGACTGAGGAGCTGCAAAGTCACCTGGACACAGCATAAAGTGTGGAGCCAAACCAAAATGTGTGATCACAGCAGAATGATGTTTGTATTTAAAGCAGAGAGTGGAGACATCACACCAGATTTTTTTGATTTGCTTAGAAATACAAAGGCAATCAGGAAGGAGCTAATGTAGATTGTTTCTCATTTAACATTGTCAGCGTAGTACAGGACACTATTGGAGACAGCAACCTGCTACAGGAAGCTTATGGTTTTGTCCTGTGTTCAGCCAAAACTTCGGTTGTAATAAGATGAAAACCTGATCTCTTGACTGTGTCAACTGCATAACATCTGGATATATGCCCAAACTATTGCAGCCCAATAAAAAGGATTAGAACTCAGCCAGTTAACAGAACAGCAACCTAATAAATAGTGTTTACAAATTGTTCAAAGAAAACTGTAACCTCTAACTGAAAAAGAAAGACCAAAGTTTTTAGCTTTAATGTTCTGTTTTCATTTTGGAAGCATATTGAAAGCAGCTGTAAGGATTGATGTTGTCTAAATGATGATACATGCTTTACTTTTCAGTGCAAAGTTGAGAAAAAGCAGAGAATGAAGACATGGCTACACTAAACCTAGTTACATAGTTCCTATCTCAATTCCTGCTAGCATCACTTTTTGCTACAGTGTAGAATGGTTAATAGTATGTAAACTATGTCTTTTCCTCTGTCCTCATTTATACACAGATGCATTTTCCTTTCTTTTGAGTTTACTTTTAAGAAATATTTTGTTGCAATGAAAATTCATTGTTTGGTGCATGGAGTTAAATCCAGTTGGCGACCAGTCACAAGCAGTGTTCGCCAGGGCTCAGTGTCGGGGCCAGTCCTGTTTAACATCTTTATCAATGATCTGGATGAGGGTATTGAAAGCGTAGAGATGCTCTGCAGAGGGACCTGCATAGCCTGGATCGATGGGCCGAGGCCAATTGTTTGAGGTTCGGCAAGGCCAAGTGCCGGGCCCTGCACTTGGGTCACAACAACCTCATGCAGCGCTACAGGCTTGGGGAAGAGTGGGTGGAGAGCTGCCTGATGGAAAAAGCCCTGAGGGTGGTGGTTGCCAGGTGGCTGAATATGAGCCAGCAGTATGCCCAGATGGCCAAGACGGCAAATGACATCCTGGCCTGCATCAGAAATGGTGTGGCCAGCAGGATCAGGGAAGTGATCACTCCTTTGCATTCAGCACTGATGAGGCCACACTGCGAATGCTATGTTCAGTTTTGAGCCCCTCACTACAAGGATATTGAGACACTGGAAAGGGGCTACTTAGCTACAGAAAGCTCTGTGAAGTAAATGTAGGTAACAGCTCTTAGAGACATCAAGCAGCGAAGGTAGGAGAGGGCCACTGAGAGATTCCTGTATAAGCACAATGTCCAGTATTGCTGGGCCAGTCATGTACTTCCATGAGCTTCCTGAGACTGGGAATGTGAAATCAAATGAAAGACTGCCTGCCCAAGGGAATGGTAGCCAAGATAATGCTGAGGTGATAAATCCTTCAAATTCCTATTGAAAAAGGAGAGCACCATCAAAACACCATAGGTCAGGCAGAGCTTTGAATGGTGATTCTCTTTTTGCTTTCCTTGTTTCCAGTCAGCTTGAACAGTGACAACTTGATATTGCAGTTATAATACCTGCCCCCACTGTCTTGGATTGCAGTGGGAGTTCTGCTTGGTGGGAATTTTAGCAAAAAAGGGTTTCTCTACTGCTCAGTTTTTGGTATTTTTTTCCACCTAGAAAAGTAACCCCTTCAGCCCTTTGATGCCGAAACAATTCAGCACAGCCAGTTCTTTAGTTGAGGAGTTGTGCAAAGCACTTGAGATTCTGGGTGAAGAAACACCTTTTATATATCTTTGCTACAGGGACATAAAAGGTTGTTTCCCCACCACACCAAAGACTCATATGCAGGTGGCCAGCCATGCTAAAATAAACTGTATGAATAGATATAAATACTATATAAATACACTATTTATAGTGTAATAATGTACTATTAGCTTTCTTCTTTGTTTCCTTTTCCACACATTGATTAGACTATGCATGTAGTTCATATTTGGGCCATCTCTAGTCAACAAATGCTAGAGTAAAATCTATTTTCTGTGTAGCTGTGACTGGTACTGGTCATTAACAAGTCCGCTATTTATGTGCCATTTTAACTAATCTTCTCAAAACAGGTACACTTTGGTAACTTTGTCATCTATCTTGCTTACTATCAAATCTAGTAATTCCCCAGTGGGATACTTTTTCCTACTCAATGGCTCCAGATTTCCTGCTCTGTTTTTTTGGCCAGCAGGCATAGGGATGGGCACCTTTCTGAAAATCTTGCTGGTTCCCAATTGCATTGGCTCCAGGACTTGGCTGCAATTCTTGATGGCAGTGATTACAAGCTGGTCCTGATGATTTCAGGAGCAAAATTAAATTTGCAGTTTCCCCAGTAACACACTGTGATTTGTTCAGGGACAAATCTGGACTGAGACAAGACAAAGTTTCTCTTTTGTTAGGCAGAAGGGAAGTAAAAGTGGATAGCTATAGTCACCCATATGAGTAAGCCAGGAATTCATGGAGTGATTCGTAAATAATCATAAAGACCACTAAAGTCTACTAAAAAAAGGAGTCCTGTCCGGCTATACAAAGGAGTGCATTATTATTGGGAGGGTTTTTCCAATGTTACATCAAATGTGGAATCTGTAAAACTGTGCTTTTCACTTTGAGTTTTAAAAAGGATTGTTTCCTTGTTGTTGGCTGCTGGTTAAAAGCATTTCTCAGAGGTTAATTTTCATGAATTAAGTTTTAAAACACAGAGGATGATATCCCATTATTTTTTACATAATAATAGTAATAAAAGACTGTTTGTGCATTGCTCTTAATCACTGACAACAAATAACAGTCTTTCTGTGTGAGTGCTATACAAAAAGCTAACTCTGGTCCTTACTCAGAGAGATATATAACCAGACAGTTGTAGCACTTCTTAAAAACCTCTTATATTTTTATTGCAATACAGCTACTGATTTCTCTTCTTAAAAACAATGTTCTCTAGTGTTATTGTGAAACACATGCAGAAAACTGAATAGGTAGTAAATCGTCCAGAGTTCATCTTGACACTTGCTGTACTCCAAAAGAAAATTATGAGTCTACCAGAAATGCAGTAAATATGTTTCATATTAAGCCAAAATCACACAAATAATGAGTGGCAGAAGCTGATTTTGAGCTGCAGCATAAAAGATTGGATTAGATTTAAACACAGTAATAACCTTTACAATTAACCTGTCCAGAGATGTTCTGCACTGCTACTACCACAGTTGCACCTTCTATTGTATTCAGGGTAAGATTACAGCTTCCTTACACTTCTGCAGGAAAACCATTCTTTATTGCTAGGTTAAAAAAAAAAGTCATCTAGTGTCTTGAGGTCCAGCCTCAGGAGAACAGGGATGAGATCCACACTTAACTTCTGTGTTAACTGCAAGCACCACTTCCTCCTAGCAGCAGCTACTGCGCACACCAACCACGGAGAAGAGTAGATGGGTGCTCTAACTTGGTACAGACTTGCAGCTTGCTTTTAGGAGTGGAGAGAGAGGCTGATATGTGTCAGGAGTACCACATCAGTTTTCACTCACCCTTTTGCAGAAATATCCTGGCTGTGTAAAACCCTCATGTAAAATCGTCAGTTATGTGTATCCTTGGAGTTCCGGCAGTGACAAAGCTGTGCAAAACATACCAGTGAAGTGATGAACCTTCCCAACTGGAAGTGATTTAACACTTCCCTATATATACATTATATTAACTTCAAACTGTTTATTTTCAAATAGCTCTATGTAGCATACAGAGGTTTATAGAACTTGAAACATGAACCTAGACCTGAACCTAGTATCTTAACTCCTTAGCATCCAGTGTCCAGAACTGACTGCTCACTTCCAGTAAAGAAGAGCAATTATTTTCTGACAGATACTCTTGATACACCCTTACAATGAGACAGCTGGCACTGCCTCAGAAATCAGGTCCCCCATGAGGTATCCCCTCCTATTAAGACTTAAACCCACCCACAGAAGTTAAAAGGATTTTTCCATTATAAGGGTGCAATTCAGCCTTTTCATTTCCCAGTCATCAAATATAATGATACATCACTGATTGAAAAGATATCTTCTCTGTGTCTGGGCTGCACACTGTTCTTTTGGAAGTCTGTATCTATGCAAACTGCTAAACATTACAGTGATCTAAGTGAAGCAGAAAGCTCTTATCTGTTGGGGATCTTACAGTTCTGTGTTTCTGAAATCCAAGGTCTGTTGCTCCAGCACCTTCTCCTCACCACATCAGCGCCCAGAGAATGTCAGTTCCACATCCCATGATGCAGAGACAGACTCCACAACCTACACACCTTCAACAGCCTGCAGAAATGCCTCTAAAGATGTACCAGCCAACAGCAAACCCTTCTTGTCAACCAAATAGTCTCCACATCCAAGGTAAGAAGGAAGAATCTTCATCACTCATGTTACTTGTTTCTCACTGATGCTTGGCTTCAAATTAGGTGCTTCAGGGGCTGGCACTGGTATTTTTAAGGCACCTTTCCTTTTGAAAGACTCTTGGAAGTAGCCTCCTGAACCCTGCCTTCAGACTTTCTTAAAATTCTTAGCTTAGCTAATTGCTATTCATCTTACTATGGAGTTATGGATTTCTCTTCAGACTGATTTTCAGAACTGTTGTTGAAACAGAACTGCAATTAATTTTGTGATGGCCTCCACTTTTAATTTTCTAATGTTGTGTTTCTAATCCCTCCTGACTTTACACATAAAAAGTTACCAGGTTTTAAAGAGTTGGAATATTTTTCTCCCTTGCACTTGTGGAGTGATGGAGAACTTTTATTCACATACGTGTCTCTTACAGCTGTGTTCCCAGTTGCTCTGTGTAAACAACTTCTGCAAGACTCCTCTCTCCCTCTTTGTTCAATCAAGTATAAACTTCTATAGCCAGGAAGAAGATTAACAGCAGCTGAAAATAATGTTGGCTTGTTTTATTTGTTTGTTTGTTTTTTTCTAGCTGGTATGGAGTATGAATGGTAATTAACATTTTGAAAATGTGTTGACAGCAGTAATGCTGTTTCCTCTCAACTGTTTAAATGTATGGTTTGCCACATTTACATACACAAGGTACATAGCACACTGGACTTTTATAGGCATTGTGATTCTGCTTTTTGATCAGGCTTCTTGAGAGTTATCACAGTAGACATCATAGGGAGCATATATTGAGAAAGCCAAGGCTTCTTTTGTTTTCATCTACTGATGGAAGCAGCCTCTCTAGGCAAATGGATGAGACAGGACACTGAGGCATCTCCCAGAGTTCATGAGTGTGAAGGTGAGAAAGGAAGGTGCCAGTTCTGTTTTGTTGTTCTTACTGTGCTCGGCAACATGTGAGCAGGATCTGATCCAGGTGCTTTCCTTCCAGGAACTAGTAATCCTGTACAGCAGTGATTAGTACTAGAAGAACATGTAACTTACCAGTGGATGTGAACAGTTAGTTTTGGCTTTCTCTATTCTCTGATAAAAGTTGCACTAATAATCTAGGGCCAAAAGAGTACAAGATGTAATTTATTAATATACTGTTCATTGTCATATGACATTATGTGAAGACATGAAGGGATCAGGATAGCCTTCCTATTTCCACCATACAATGCATTTTACTCAGTTCCCTTTTTTGCTGAATATTTGGCTAGAACTCATCTTGCAGAAAGGCATCCAGACATTAAGGTCTGTCTTCCTACCTGAAACAAAACTTGTCTTTGAGTGCATAGATGGCTTTACCACCCTTTTCCTCTCAGGGTCATTGGAACTCCAGTAATTGTAGAAGCTGAGATCACAACCAGCTGCTCCAAAGAATCCAAATAATCTTGCCTCCCAGAGGTTCACAGATCATCTTGGATTAGTTGCTGCTCCTCACAGGACTTGCACTGGCTGGTACAATTAGCTCCGTATCTGCTTGGGCATCTTCTATTTAGGGCAGACCTGAGTGATGCTACTGTGTTCCAATCTCCCCCTTCCACAGCCCAGAGAAGATGAAAAAGCACCAAATCATGAGTCATTAAAACCATTATAAGAAGAAATCCAAGTAGAGACTCTCATCTGGGTGAATGTCACATACAGACATTCCACATCCAAATTTAAGATATAGGTTAATGATATCTTCTGACTGCATTAAAAAATGGATAACCTCAAGGGCTTGGACCTTAAACCCATATCTTACTTAGTCCCACTTTAGCATTACTGTGTTTGCCTCCCTTAAGGAGTATCAGAGAGTGTGAGAGGGAGATTGGTAGAGCCACACCCTACTATCCCTGAGGCAAAGGCAGCAGATGGAGGCTCCACAAGAAGCAGAGAATCCCCTGCCCTCTTTCTACCAAGCAGAAGGAAGGAACCTAAGAGACAAGGGGGAATGGAAACAGGTCCTTGCTTGAGGTGGCAGGTGAATCCCCTGCCGACCTCCCTTGCCTTCCCAATTGCTCTTACACAACAGATGTGGGGCTCTCAACTTGAGGGCCAGGTGAATGAGGCTGTAGATGTAGGTCCATCCAGAGGGTTGCCTAGTATAAGTCAGTCAGCCCCATGCATTATGACAGCCTCCATTAAGGAAAAAAGGAGGATAATTGTTGTAGGTGATTC